TTTTTTTGCGAGACGTTGCACATTTTTACAGATACCATATCTAAATGGGGAGAATCGGTTATCAGTATCTTCCCTCATGATCGTTGTTAGTAGCAGTCAGATCTCGCCATCAAACATCTATTTTTGCTACTCTCTATAGCACTTTCTCATTTATCAAAACTTGTCGTTTAATCACACTTTTTATTACTGCAGAGAAGTGCAAGTAGTAGGCCTGTTGGGCTTGCGTAAATCGCCCCAGGTGGTAGTAGGAGGATTATTCCGAGAATGAGGGAGGATTCCATTTAGCGCGCCTTCGTCCCTTGCCGTGTGTCATGAAAGTGGAGCAGAACTTTGACGAAATTTTAGCAAAGTCAAATTAAGAATGAACTGCCTTCAGCGAACATGGCATTGGCCTTTACGACCCTTTCCCGTCGAACTTTATGAGATATGAGGTGTCGTTCGAGAAGCATTGTGCAACTACAAACTTGCTTCATGGTGCGTTAGTACACTACATACACGCGCATACATACAGGAATACATACATGCACGCTGACGAACCAACAAACACTTAGCGCGTTATACAGTAGCGGTCAAAAGTATTCGGCCACATGCTTCTTACCTCGTACTTTTTAGTCGTAACTCCCTTCCTACTGGATCTAATCATGCGAAGCTTCAATATGTGTAGCATGGGTTATTGTGAATATTTACTACTATTAACCGCAATCTGATCATGTTCCANATATTCCAAAGAGCTTAAACTCAAACTCAGCTGGAAATACATAGGGACACTCGTACATCTAGGGCTTCTACTCTTTTCTCATATCTGAAGTGACGAGCTCTAATGCCGAACACAGTGAAGGAGGAAAATGCAATAATATGCAAATAACTGTAGACGTCGCTAACTTTGTTCTTAGCGAAGTGTGCTACCACAACAGACACCTTCCCCTTAGTTGAACTGATATTGCTGCTTTGCTGTCAACTAATGTTGGATGAGTGTGAAATATGCTTCTGTTGAACATATCAAAATTTCGCGCGATTTGCTTCACTAAGAAAAAAGTTACGGCCGAAAAAGCAATTGGCCAAATACTTTTGAGCGCTACTGTATACAGCAGAAAATGTATCGCTGCAGAAGAGTTATAACGATTATGCCATTGATGGGATTGGGAATAATGCGTTGGGCGTTGAGCGATAAGCACTGGGTGCTGAGCATTGAGCGGTGATTGGTGAACCTAGCGCTGTGTTTACAACACCCGTCGTTGATCGATACCACAGAACCATGGCGGTAAATAATTTCTTGATTAAGCTTTTATTGGTTGTTCACTTTTTCAATTTTTTTTGCACATGGACTTGGTTTTTTTCTCCTTACACTACCACGGTATTATGTGACCAAAGTTTATCGTTATGGGAGAGCTCAACGCAGCTTTGCTTGAAAATAACGTGCTCTAACGCAAACACCGTGAGCGTGGCGCGAATGCCAATGCTGCGTACGTGCGCTCAACGCTGAACGCTGTATTCTGAGCACGCATATTCATTCAAAGGAAAGGATTAATTCAGATATTGTTCTGATCGTAGTCATATGTAAGCGTTGACGTCTACGTTATCATAGACTTTACAATGAATTTTTTTAAGTCTCAGTAAAAAATTTTTCAAAAATCTCACATCAGGCCCTACCGTGTTCAGTGTCTTTTTCAGGTTTTTAGCCAGTGTGCGATATATATTAGTGGAATTTTTGAAAAGTATCAGTATTACATATAGTATTACAAAACCTATACCAATAAATGTACATTGATGTTGCCTTGAAAGAAATTCGTCAGAATTCCATCGTTCATGTCCTTTCATCTAGTTCATGGCCTTTACTGACCTTCTGTTCCAAGTCCCTTAATCCTACTTTTTCTGATTATGTTCAACTGTGATGTTTAGGTTCACCTTGAGTAATTATGTCTACGAAGTGGAAAGAACGCAACAGCAGGAAAAATCGAAAGAACAGGAATCATTTACGGAATAGAGATCTTCGTCTGAAGGACGATGGACAAGGTTCGTATTAAATATCAGTGCTGCACTTTGGATAGAGACGGATGACTTATAAAAGGAATTGTAGTGAACTTGGGTCAAATTTGCGGAAAATTCGTGAGGGCTATGTCGCATTCTGAGAACAAGTGTGAGTTTTGGGAAATGGCGCAGTAGGATAGAAATTGTCGCGTCGCGGCCAGAGGGACGCCGCACGTGAAGGAAGGTAGCGGAATGCAGCAGCAGGTAGGAAAGGCAGGAACAAAAGAACCCACAGGTGAACCATGCCTAAAATAATGGTCCTGTATCGATTGAGCCGTATGGAGAGCGCTGGAGCTGTAATAACGGCGAAGCGTATGGTCAGCGACAGTCGCGTGCGGCGAATCGATTACACAAAATCGATCCTACTGCCCGTCTCCCTGAGTTTTGGTCGTGTCCGCACATATCCTCCCATGGGCTCTTTCCATTCTTATGATTTTTGCTTGTTATTTCAGAGATTATTTCAGATGGGATTGTACCAGTGGGTAATGAAAAATTGAAAATGCCAACCAACTTAGTGTGAACTTGATTATCTTCACGTTGATGATGTCACCAACTTTCCACAATATTCTGGTATGGATTATGAAATGTAGAAATGGATACTTCATCGCTTAATAACTGGGTTCCAGTCTGGGTACATTTTCCACCTAGGAGAGACGCTCTATTCCCATCACTGGCAACACTCTTTAATGAACCGATAACACGACAGCGAATTTTGTACGGGTTTTTTGGGAAGGTTTTCCTTGGAGCCATGGACATTGTGACAAGGTCTGCTAATTTTTCGTACGCTATGAATGCGAAATATGGATGCGAGTATGATGGTCATATTCGCATCCATACTTTTTTTGCCATTCAAACTGTTTCTTACCCAGTACTTTTGTTTTGAGTCTTACCAGAAAAAGGCTTTAACCCTCCCCTCCCCTCCCTGAAACTTGAATTGAACCCCTTAGCAGCGGAATCGTTGATTTTTTCCAAACGTTCCGTCAGCGATTTCCTGATCCTCTGGAGAGAAATCACCTGTTTGAG